GTTTCTATGCGAATGTTTCATGGTTGGTGCATAATTAACTTCGTTAGTCGGTCTGTGCTTTCAGTAACTAAATTGTTCTTGTTATTCGAACGAGTGGACGATGAGTGACAAGAAGATGAGTTCTATACGACGACATTTTTTTTAAATAAGTATATATATATATATATGTACGTATGTATTAACACATTTACAATCCGGTACATAATTGTTGAATATAGTGAATATATTGAGCGTAATTATAAATCCAAACATCGACCATGGACATATAAATGTTTTTGAAAAAAATTTCCTCTCTTCAACATTATTGTTTTTAATGGAGAAACATGCTATGTATTACATCAAATGCGATTTCAATGTTAAATTAAAATTAAAAAAAAAAAAAAAATGATAGATTAAAATTAACACGTTAGGTCTGTGAAAAGATTTTATAAGAATGTTATACAATTTTCATTGAAAGCACATTTCTCCGTATGATTTTCATTGCATTCCATCGTCGAAGATTTTGAATTTCCTCTCCACTTAAAAGTTCCAACTTCCTGGCTGCGAAAGGAATTCTACAACTTGATTAGAAGATCCGAGACACATTATTCGTATCTTTATCAAATTGAAATTGTAATCCTCCGCACTAAAAGAAAGATACTGCTTTCTAATTTTTGATTACATAACAACTTAAACTCAAAAAAAATTAGTAACAAGTTTCTAAATAGCGAATTCGTTTGGCAAACTGGAAGTCAAAGATTCTATTGTATTACAGGCTACGATTGGAAATATCATAGTTAACGTTACATATCCACGGGGAAGACACCCAGTATAAATATATATACATATATATGTATATGTATGCATGTGTATATACATATATATATATAGATTATGTGTGTGTGTATATATATACGGCACTGCTGATCGCTGGTAAATAGTAATTTTTTTTTTTTTTTCTTTTTGTTAAATTTTGTAAAGCGTCTATCTGAAAGAGATGCGAAATACACGTTTCTCGTTCCACAATGTTTAGCATGTCGCGTGCTATATAATTTATAATTTATCGTTTATAATCGGTATCAGAACGCGCTACAATCCTCTTATAAAAATATTCAACCACAACCAACCAGATAAATGCAACAATATTTATCTATTTCGAGTTTGCATCAGATGCAATCGCTTTTTTTTTCTCTCTCTCTTTTTTACGCAACAGAAGTTAGTTTTTATCTAATTTAGTTTATTATTTTATTCGTTTTGCTCAACACATTCGCCATTAATAAATGTAATACAAATGTAATTTTTGCACTCATTTTTAAAACAATAATGGTCTATCTTCCTCAACTTGTTAGGGACCATTTTCTCGAAAACGAAGAATTAAACGCTGCCTAATTCCAACAAATTAACAACACATGAAACGCCGAGATTTACTTAATAAATGTAAAAGATATACTTTTTACGAAAGGTATATTCGTAATATACAGCGAATGCGTTTACGAAAGGTCAATCCTTCAAGGTCAGCATTCGATAAAAAAATAAATTACTATCAGAAAGCCAGCGTTTGGATAAATCTGTATACAGAATATATTTCCTTATTGGAATATTCACAGAATATATCTCCAACATTTGGCAATAACAACAAGCGCAATTGAACAACGATCTTAGTATCATCAGATAATTAGGGGAAGGCCCGAAAGGGTTGACCAGATCATTCACAATGAATACCCGAGCCACAACGAAAATGATCCGTTGAAAAATAAATTATTCAAGTTCAATATTTCTTTTCTCCATTTCATTTTGAATTCTTATTTTATTCCCATTTCCTTTTTTTTTTTCTTTTTTGTTTCTTAATAAAGTTCGTAAATTTTCTCTAAGCGTAATTCAGCTCCTATTCAGCAAGTTCATCTCGTTTCCATTTGTTGAATTCAACTCACTCTTGCTGAACCGGAGTTCATTGCGTTCCCTCTTTAAAAAAGTTTAGAATCATTTTCTTTGTCTGTAACTCAGTTTCGTCGATTAAGAAAACTACAAATTGAGAACAGGCTTCCTGCTTGTGTCTTTCGTTATGTATAGCATGATTTACTTCTTATATATATATATACGTATATATGTATGATTAAATGTTGCGACTATAGTGTAATAATGTAATAGTAATACGTTCGTTTATTGTTTCTTACGTTTTCGTTTTTCATTATTGTAGCAGCTATGACAGAACTGCAGGAAGAATGGACATAGATGGTGATCTTCCGTGATTATCAGAAAATAGTTTCAAGTTCCCTTGAACTTGAAAAATTATATTTATCAAAAACGCATTGATAAAATTTCAAGAGATAACTGGGAATAATAGTCTTCATTAAATATAGTATAAAATATAAAAGTACCCTAAAATTAAAAAAATAAACTATTGTAGATCACTACTGATTATATGTAGATCATCATGTAACTCAAAGATACCAATTGAAATCTAATGCTATTCAATATTTTATTCCCATTCAGTTACATCAACATTGAACATTTTAATGTGATACTAACCAATGACATCAGAGACCATGTAAACTCCATGCTTCCTATAGCCCTAATACAATTACACTTGGAACGCTTATTATTGGTGTAAAAAAGTCATATGGACGTATATAGCTTCTGCAATAGAATATGATTGACATATTTCCAACAACGAATATTCCTCTTTCTCTTACATGTCTACCATGTCTCAACATCTGCCAACAACGAAACTACACTTAATTCGCAATACTTGCCTATGTGTATCTCACTATCTTCAGTACGGGTCTAATAAATGCTTATCAACTATCGACTTATACGAGTCGTTACAGTCGCTACAAGACTAGAAACTTGGTTTCTCATATATTTTTTGGCACGAATTTTATAATCCTCCTCTGAGCCACTTCCGAATACATCATCTT